GTGTGTGTGTGTGTGTGTGTGTGTGTGTGTGTGTGTGTGTGTGTGTGTGGAGTTTGATAGACGGCAGTGGGGTGTGTACGGTGGTTGCTCCGTTTCCCACAGCGTGCAATCTTTTACTATACGCTTACTTACATGTACGTATACGCACACATGCCGATTGCCCATCTCTTTCTTTCCCCATAGCTACAAATCCTGCAACTTCACACATACACATACACACAGAAGCAAACAAAAGCATTGTCGGTTGTCGTGATCACATCTTCCAGTCGTTGAAGTGGTGCAATTTGACGTCACTAGAAAAAACAGAGCGAGAGAGACAGACTTGAGATTCACAGCTCCCACTTTTAGGGGCCGACAAGCAATCGCTCGGATATTGAAGGTGTGAACGAACAAGCACCGACCATCCACGGGGGAACATACCGTGCAGTTACACAAGAGGATGGACGAGGCAATTTTCTGTTTAGGATAGTTTTTTTCTCTCTCTCTTCATCGGTCGCATTTCATCGGACATATATGAATTTCCTTGTCTGACTCGGATATAAGCAAACGGCACAAAGTACATCTTAGACAAAGTTACACTCATCACTGTCGTTCTCTGTGTGTGTGTGTGCATGCTTGTGCGTTTTGGTGTTAAGACCGACCAAAGTGACTACTCGTTTGCAACTGGTCAGATACTCCTGCTGCTACGGTGAATCGTTCAAATCTTCGGAGTCGACGAGTTTCTCCATTCCACTTTGTCCATCTCATTTCCTGTACGGCCCCATAAACCAGAGAAACAGATACGCTTGTGTGCATTGCTGCGAATGAACTCAACCGGTTTTGACTTTCACACCAGTACTGTCAGCTCTCACAATCAACCACCACGACCACCAACATTGAATATCAAATAACATGCGCGGTTTTCATTGTCCGGCCTATCGGTTGGACGAAACGACGGTCACTGAAGCAATCAGTTTCACACGCGCGACTTTGAAATTTTCACTCTATTGTGGCCTCGTTTTCATGGTCACCGTTTCATTCATCCCGAGTACCGGTGCGAGCAAAACACCGTTTGAGACCGGGATTTGGACAGCGCGAAGACGAACTGCCATGCCCGGTCACTTGGCCACAACAATTTCAACGCCAATCACTGATTCTTCCTCTGTCGCCCCGACTCCCGGTGCTAAAGCGAATGTAACACAAACAATCGCGGAACCGCCATCATTGGGCTATTGGTTGAATCTGGGTATTCCATACTATAAATGCCCCAGCCAATTCGACGAGGATCGTTGTAAAAATTTGCCAAGTGCGAAATCCACACCGGAGAACAGTGCCATATGGAAACCAGATTATGCTATGTTAATGGAACGTATCACTTGCGTGATACAAAAATTGAATTGTCCCACTGATAATCGATCATTTCAAGTGAGTTACTAATTTGATAAGTAAATCATTACTAACGTCCGTTTTTTATTTACTGAAAACCTGAATTTATACCTTACAAGAAACGATTATGGTTTCTCTTGATTATGGGTTGGTTTCGGTGCATTTTGATTAATAACGGTAGTCTGGTAGATTAAGTCTTTGCCACTGGTGCACTTAATCTGGGGTTCGAGCCTCATCATCATCGCCCGACGGGCGTGTTGAAGAGTTTTGTTGTTATCGGACACAGAGCAATCCATCTCTGGTCTGCGGGGATTTTGTGTGTGCCTAGCCGCTCAGAATTCGTAGGGACTCGGATCACGAATACTCATGGCCGATCAGACGGTATTCGTTATTAAGTGATTCCTTCTTCAGTTTTATTGCCAACTACAGCAGGTATTAAGAAGAGCTTCTAAACGCATACAACTGGAACATACAGGACTGGTTGATAACGTACTATTTTATTCATCACATTAAATTTAGAATAAAAGTAACTAAACAGAGTGCTGTTTGCACGTTGAAGTGACGCTTCTGTGATCCACATACTTGCAGTCAAATACAAAAAAATTAACCTTTGTATAAATTTATTTTCAAGGACAAATAGTGACGGACGTTTCAGACTGGTCGGGTGTTTTACGAAATTTAATTCGATTGATGAACTAAACAGATTTAATTGCGATTCAAAAATTTGGTTTCATGCTGATTGCTGAGCTCACCTACGGTGCGGCGGTTATCAGGCTAAGAATTCGGCACTATCTGAAGAAGCGCATTGGTTTTCAATACGTCATACAGGCAATTCTTCGAACGGCAGTAAATTGCCAAACAAAACGAAAGCTAGACAAACTGTTTGCGATGAATCAGGCAGTTGGAAAAGTTGCATTTTGGTCTTATGCAAAACTCGGAGAACGCTCTGTGTTGAGGTGTGTGCGAGAGAGCTGGATCAATCAATTGACGGACATCTTTTGTAATATATGCAATATCTGTTCCCCATGTTTTGTTTGCGCTTAATAGCGTACTTGTGAACTTTAACCACTCCTGGAACTAGCCATGGATGTATTATTAAGCCAAATACACAAACATGGAGTATCACTCGGAGCAATATTCTCGATAAGTTTATTCCCATTCATAACTTAGTTAGATTCAAATTATGCGCTGACAAACAAACTTCTCTTAGGCTATCCATTTGATTATGTACGATAAGCGGATTTCTCATCGCTGCGTTAACGTGTTACTCACTACGGCAAATGCTTGCAAGCGTCGGTCGTGCAACTAGCTGTCACATCCAGGTGAACACTCTTATCCAGTGTTAATCCACTGAGTCTACCGAGATTTCAACTGTCGAATCGGGAAGTTGGTTGATTGTGAAACATACTTTGATTATTCTGCAGTTTACCGCGTGCAGTATGCAACCGATAGACTCTCGCTAGGATAATTGCAAAATCCAACTTAATTGCTAATGACCA